GGCGGGGCGGGGGCTGCCGGGCGCTGCGGGAGGGCCGGGGGAGCAGAAAGAGGCGTTCTGCCTGCCCGGCGGTGACGGCGCAGGGGGGTGCAGAGCCCCAGCTCCCCGGTAACCGCCGCCTCTTTCCCCGAGCGCGGAGGGGCTGTCTGCGCCCCGAGCTGTAACGCTGAGGTGGAGTTAGGGGCTCCCGCTGGCTTTCCCGTAGCCGTGCAAAGCAGGAATTCTGTCCATTAGACACAAAAAACCTCCAAAACCTACAAACCCAAAACGAAAGTGCAGTGAGCTCTGTGTCTCTCTCAGATGGTTACTTCAACAGGTTTCCAGTTCCCATGATGATAGCAGTGTAACTTTCAGAACATTTCCATTGAAGAAGCTGTTTTGAAAGCAGAAATATGTAGAGAAGTACTTCCTTCTGGATGACATCTATGTTCTCATATGAACCTATGAGAGGTAGGCATGTGTATTGTGAATGAATATGTATATACACATGGTTAGCTAAAACTTTATTTTTTTCAGAATTTAAGGTGTTTTCTGAGGCACAGTGAAAACTCAGAATGCACTGCTTTAGTGATCTGTGGAGCTGAGATTTCAGGATGTACGTAGCAGTATGTTGCTAATTGTTGTGTTGGGGCTTTTTTGGCATTTGCCTCTTAGAAAATACATATTACTGCTTCTTTTCTTCCCCCTCATATATCAGCAAAATATTTCTCACTTGAAGCAAGTATTTTAAGAGCATCTGCAGGTTTCATTGGGTTTGTTTACTTAAAAGTTTGTCTTACAACATTTGCTGTGCCCAGTTGTTTACTCAAAGTTGAAATTCTAGTTCTCATTTCCATGGCTGTGGCAACACAACGCTAGCAGGTACTCACATTTGCAGGACCCCTCATCAGACAAACTCTGAAGCTAATCTCTTTCTCTAATTCTGTCCCTGTTAGAATAAATGCAGCATTTTGTATTGCTGCAGCTGTTCTGACTACATACTGGTGTTAATAACTGTGAAAGCCTTTAGGATCTAATGAATATCTAGAATGTCTGTTGCTGAAGAGTTGGCTTGTCCACTTTGGGATCGTTATCTTCCAGTTACTGTATGGGTACAGCATAACTAAGCCTGATTAAAATAGTGGGGATATTTGTTTTGGGGGTGGGGCGGTGGGGTTTTTTAGGGTTATTGGGTTGGGGTTTTTTCCCTCCTAACTGGGGGAGGGAGGGAGAAGAGTAGGGAGAAGAGTAAATGGCAAGGAACAGTTGGCAAATTCCCTGATAAATATTGATGCCTATGGAGGAGAAGCAGGAAAAAGAGCCAGTTTTTCCAAATGCAAGGAGTTCTAAATTTGAGAGAGATAACATAAGAAGCAGTTATTACTGCAGCAGGCAAATTCAGGGCGTGACTACAGAGTAGTTTAATCCAACCTAAATCTAGACTACTGCAGTCCTGCCCACGGCTAATCTCATGTTCCCACTGCCTCCTTGTGTTGGTAGTAGTGTTCCAGTAGCCTCGCAGTGAGCTAGCTCCAGTTTTAATTTTGGGGTTATTTTTTAGGGGGTTTGTTGTTGCTTTTTTGAGGAAGTAGGGAGCTAATTTGGCATAATAACTGTGTAACACAGAAATGCTAATACTGGTACAAGTAAGTGGCAAAAATACATGGCCAGAGATGGAGGAAGGCAGGAGTATCCTTTTCTGTGGCAGTGCAGACTTACATCACTGTTACATAACCATGACTTCATGTTAAAATTTCGAAGCCAATGCTGCCATTGAACATAGGAGTTCTGTCTGCCTTTTGCTGATGTTTTCTTCTCCTGTGCTGGCTTCCTTGTGTTATCACGCTATTTGAAGTGGTCTGTGGAGCTGATCTGCATAAAAACTAACAGAGCAAAAATACCTTTAGCATTTAGTTTTAAGCTCAGTTGGTTTGCTGATATGGTTTACAGTAAGGCTGCTTGTTGCTGGAAGAAAGGGGTGGGTGAGGTGGAAGCAGAAGTGAGTGTCTAGGTATGGGGGAATATAGGACCAATTCTTGCAGTTACAATTCCATCTTAAAGTGTCACTAGTAATGACTTTTGTTGCCCCTTTCTTACTGCATGGTGTCTGGATTTTAGGGACCTACCAGTAAATCAGCTACCATTCTCCTTATTTTTCCCTACTAAGTAGAAAATCAGGTGCGGTGCTACAGTTCTGCCTGGTGGATCAATTAATTTTGTTACCAGCAGTCCAGATAGGAGCAGAACTGTTCGTTAATACTTCCAGTCTCAATCAGGAAGTAAAAGGTGGAAAGTTAGGTATAAATTTTAAATACTGTTTTTCAAATTGAGATTTGAATTTGCATGAATTAAATTAATGCCTTCATTTTCTGTGAACTGTGAGTCATATGGAGCTGAACCCCATTCCCTCTGTTAAAAGCTGAACATAGTTTTTTAAATCCCATTGCACTCATTTTTTGAAGTTACCTTTTATATGTACAGGACGTTGCCATTTACTAGGTAAATTGTTACAAGTGTCTTTGGAGAATTCCAGAAAAGTATAAAATCAACATTGGTGCAAACTCTGCAAGTTTTTTAAGAATGTGAAAGCAGACTTTCAATCACTTTCAGCCATAACAATACCATTCTACAGTTTAGTACCCACCCCTGCAGTCAGTTGTAATATCTGATTTTATTCATTGAAATACATAAAACAGTCCTTCGTTTGAAACGGGGAAAAAAAAGCCTACCCTTTTATTTAAAGATGTGTCCCAGGTATTAGAATTAATATTCCAGGTAGTGGAGGGATGCTCTGTGGGGGAGGAAGAAGGTAGATGAAATAGCCTGTGTTGCTAACAATGCTTTGAGACCTGTATGGACCTGAGATTATAAACTACTGAACTGGTGTTTAGGAAAACAAAAACAACCTTTCCTATAAAACAATGTAGGTGTTTTACACAAGACTTATAAACTTAGATTTCGGTAATACTTGTTACATCAAAGGACCCCTAGCTGTTAATGAATTCACTTTGCTACTATTAAAGTACAGCCATGCCAGAGTTGAGATACAACTGCTTTTGCAATATACACACATAGTTAAAATAAAGTTTGTAGGACAAAAAGGTGCAACATCCAGTAGTTTGTTGCACCTTCCAGGAAAGTCAAACCACATTTCTGTATTCAGGCTTTATGTATTCTTGAAGATATTCAAGAGCAAGAAAATATGAACAAAAGTTTCAAGCTGCAATCCTTAGAATTTTGACCAGGGTCCAAAACAAGTTATCCTTATACCCTTCTTGCTTGGCTTATCCTCTTCTGACTACACCACTTCCCTTAATAGTATCTGTGGTTTATGCATAATCCCAGAAGATAGCGAGAGATGATAGTGGCTGTCAGCAGAAGAGATGTGAATTACTGATTTTATATTTTTTTTCTTAACACTGGTACTTTGGGGTGGGGGTTGAGACTTCACTAACCTGTCCTCTACTGTACTTATATTATGATAAATTTTGATCTTAAAATTCATGTCATATATTACTGTAGGAGCAAAGGACCTGTGTTTGCAAAGTTCACTCTATCTTGAAATTGAAGTCTGTGACATTTAATAGTGTTGTAGTCTTCTGCGTCAAAGTTCATGAGCTGTTGTTCCAGGAAGTGTTATTGAAATTGTTCACGAAGTGTAAAAAGTTCGTAGTATTGTGTGAAAAGGTCTGAGTCTTGCTAATTCTGACTGGTTGGTATTACTGATTTTTAGATAAAAGATGTTTTAATTCACCTTGTAGTGTTGCTTGTATTGCTATTTTCAAATATGCCATAGATGAGGGTAGGTCCATGTGACCTACTGTTGTTGATCTTTTATCTTTTTATTGCTTAATGACAAAAGCTGAGTTTTGTTTTGTTTTTTTAATGCTGTTATTTCATAACTGAGTGAACATTAAACTGTTGGAAATGTCATAAAATCAGGTAACTGGTGATTTGCACCAGTTTTAAATCTCAGTCCTCAAACACTGTAACAACACATACATTTACACATTATGTACATCCAGAATTTGATTCAGAGTTAAGCTGCTTTGATTTGGCTTTTGTTTAAACCTGTCCCTGGACGTAAAATTAAATGTTGAGGTAAGCAGAGCTATAGTTCAAACTATTATGGGAGTCAGTGCTCAGACATACTGCACATAGTACTTGAATTTGATATTAATACAAGTCATGTTATATATGTTTTTAGTTACATACTTCTGTTTCTTAGCATTCTTTTTTTCTTTCTGATTACTTTTCAGGTCTGTTAACTTGACCATCTTTTCAGTGATGAAACAGCATTGGGAATTATGGACAAAAACATTGGAGAGCAGCTTAACAAAGCTTACGAAGCCTATCGACAAGCATGCATGGATAGGGACCATGCTGTGAAAGAACTACAGCAAAAAGTATGTGTTGGGATCTGAATTGTGTCTTTAAAGCCATCCTTCCTGTGGAGGATTGTGGTACATGTAGATTTCAGTTTCACTTTAGCTATGTGCACCTTAGTGCATCTGTTCAGGTTGTTATGAAACCAGGCCAGTACACTGCAGAGTAACTCATTAGGCTGTGAATGTAGTAGTTGGGTTTTAGGTTTCTGACCTTTAATTTTGTTGTAGTTTTAAAGGTGAGAAGAGTGTTGTCTGGTTAGAGGATTAATGAAGTCTTTAATGTAAACAGCAAAGATGTATATAAAATTTACCTAGCTTTAATGAAGTACTGCTTGAAATTTTATTTACTTTATTACAAAATACTTTTATTAATGTAAATAGCTTAAATTAAATAATTTTTGTGTTCATAGGAAGACACGCCATATGAATTACTAGTTTACTTGGTGTAAAGGTCAAAGACTCTACTATGTTAAGCACTGCAAGGTATTAGGACAACAGAGTTTGTGTGTTATAACATTTACAGCAAACTTACCTTAAAATTACTGGAACAAGTATTGATTTTTTTAAAAGTCATCTGTACAATTATTCTTTAATTATGATGTGACAGAAAGATTACGTACGCATGTAAGGAGCGCCTTTGAATTTTTACGTAGTCTGTTGCAGAATACATTACCTCAGCTAAAACTCATTTAGAACTTCTCATAATGTATGCCAGCATGTTGCAAAGCTATCAGTTTTGGGCTTTGTCATACTAATTTTATTGTGCATATTCTGCCCAGCAATGAAACCTCTGTTACAGGAAGGCTTGAGTGTTTTTGATGCTGCAGGGCTTCCTGATACTTCCATAGAACTGGTAGACTGGGACTTTGTTCAGGCGCAGATGAACCATACTCAGTGTCAAGTTATGGAAGCAGTAGTAGAACTGGGAGCAGGGAAGGGTCTACTAGAGAATATTCTGATATCTGGGCACAATCTTGCCATCCTCTTGCATGGCAAAATAAAGTAGCTAAGGCACTGCAAAACAGGCATCAACTCAATCACGTGTGCAACCATCCGCTGTGCAGGCTATCTTCATTCATAGTCTGTTGCAGCAGTGCTGGTGCAAATCTGTAGCATTTTCTGCACTTAACAGTTAGCACAAGTAGTGTGTCAATACATTTTGTGTTGAAATTGTGACTAATTTAAGGCAATACATTTTAGAATGTTTGGGAATCTTTCAAATTCTGTCTCTTATGATGAACAATTAATTATTTGAAGGAAAACCAGTCACATTAATACTCCTGGTTCACCTAACAGTACATGAAAAACTTCTGCCCAAGAAACAAGGCATCATGTACAAGGTCAGATATCCCTTCTGAAGTCTATGGAAGAAAACCAGAGAAGTGTGTGAGATCATCAGTGTTAAGTGAACTAAATGCGGGCAAGATTTCTCTCTGCCTTTTCCTCTGGTTCAGAAATTAAAAATGAAAGCCTTTCATAAAGGATTACTACCAGTTCAAATCTTTGTCCTAGTCAAACTTTCAGTAGTTGATTTCATGACTTAAAAAGAAAGCCAAAAGTATTTTTTCAAGAAGAGTTGATACTAAAATTATTGGCCGGGGGCGGGGGGGGGTGTTTGTGGTGGTGTTCAGGTTTTTTAACCAAATTCCTGGTTTTTGACTGACCTTTGTACAGTGCTTCACTCTAGTAACTTCCTCTGTTCATTGTGTGGCCTTCACACATTGTTGGATTGTCCACCATTCTGTTTGTTAACAGTTTACTACTTAAGTTACCGATAGGCCACTTGTTTTGCCAGTCTTTAGAGCTGGGAGCCATGTCAAGCACACAGAAGCCAGAGTCATCTCGGCCAGATGGTGTTTGATACAGATGGATGGTTGGTTGTCATGCAGATCTTCTAGTTGGTAACTTGTTGCTGCCATCTGACTCAAGGAATAATTTGTGCACACTGGCTGTCAAAAGCATCTTCTCTTCTGTCTGTTTTAGCTGTCATGTCTGTGCTCTGTACAGAAGTGTTGACAAGACATTGCTGTTGTACATTTTCAATTTGGTTCTCAGTGATTTTTCTGCTTCATGAGGTCTCTTATAGCTGCTGGAGTGTACTGCTCTTTGATCACTTTTTTCTTTTTTTTTTTTTTTTTTAAATAAACTCTCATAGTACAACTACTACCTGGCCTTTTAAAATAAATTTTGCTGGTAGATTTTTTTCCTGCCTGCCTTAGACAAACGCATTGGGCAGTAGGGGGGTGTGTAATTTAAATGTGACTGAGATTTGAGAATTAGATAGCAATATGGGTAAACTATGAATAGATGTGAAAACAATGCTTAGTCTTGTTCCAGGTCATGACCTGTTCCATAATAGACATATTCATAATTTCAGAAAAATTCAGTGCATTCCTCTAGGTTTCCTTTCTGGGACTTCACAAGTTTTCTTGCTTGTTTTTAGCACTACCGTAACTGTAACGTTAGGCATGTGCTAATGAAATACTGGTTTTTGAATATTAGCATCTTCCTGCCACCTGCCCATTTGTTCAATTAACTGGCTGTCTAACAATATTTATACACTTTGGTGAAATGTGAGCAGTCCTATTAGGCTCTGTATGGCCTGTTTATAGCATGAGATGGGGCATGGCTAGATGAAGAATGGGCTGCGTCCTTGCTTCCCACCGTTTTCCAGGTTAGAAAAACAGTCTATTATATTGAAAGGAACAGGCAAAACTCTGTTCATAAGTGACTGAAGTTATTTACAAAATGTCTATTGTATGGAATAAGCATTGTTGTTTTCCATTTAAAATCTTATCTTTTTGAAAGTCTGTATTTATATCATCTATTTGTTAGAAAATACAGGAGAAGAAAATCATGTCTTTCTGTAGATAAACTAACTGACCTGCATTCTGAAGAATACTAAAATTCTAATTTTAAACCTGATGTGTTCTGTGGCTACAAATGAAGAACCCTATACTTAAAAGTTATCCTGCCCTTTACAACTGTCGCAGTAGAAACAGCTACTGAAAATCAGGATTTACTTCCTATAATACCTTTTCTAATCAGGGCAATCTCAAAAATATGGACTTGCCAAAGATGACTGTAATTGAGTTTTCACGTGGAGGTCCACAACTACACTTGTCTTTAAAAATCAGAGCTGCTTTTTAGATGCAAAATAGGAGACCCCTAGTCAAAACGGAATAAGATTAATGCTAGTTAAATTATATTTGCAGACAGAAAACTACATGCAGCAAATACGTGAACAGCAGGAAAAGATAGAGCTTCAAAACAGCATTATTTTGAAACTGAAATCGCAGTTAGCTGCTCTGAATGTTAATAGAGGTATGTACTCCAGTTTGCACATTATTTCTTTTTACGCTGTGTTGCATTGATGAATAGTTCTGACTTTGTTGTTTCAGTTTTTACAATATACATCTCCCAAAGCAGTATCATACTTTTCTGTGAACATGGGAGTTAACACAAATGTGCAGTTTCAAAATCTATTTATAAAATGCAACACTTCTGAGGTCTCTCTTTATCTTCTTCAAGAAATGGTGAGATTTTCTTCAGATGTAGAACCTGCTTACACTGAAGCCAATAAAAGTTACGAAAATATGGGTTCAAATCATTCACTAGAATTAAAACCAAAATTGTTATATATTAATTTTACGATTACCTGTTAATAAATTTAGCTCAGGTTTTTCTAGATGTGAGTACTATGGTCTTTGATGTTGGATGATTCTTGTGATGCTAATCTTATTGCATAACCAAAGCTTTATAAGCAGGTAATTGCCTTTCAAGTCAAATAGTCATTGATGGATAATTTTCCACTGTTTGACTGTATTACACAAATAAGAGAAAAGAGTCAAAGTAACCATGTGTTAATCTGCTATGCTCATTAAATATTTATTCACACTAGCCTAACACTCTTGGTTTTCATAAATACGAGCGAAGTGGTTGGCTTTTATTTTTAAGAGTACATGTACATTCTCGTTTGCTGGTTTAGTCTTGTGTGTCTTTAAGCAAAGAATTGGGCTTCTCTTGCTTGCTTAATATGAAGGCTTGCTCAAAGAAAACAAAAAGTGTAATATAAGACTAGCTCCCTTTAATTTTGCTTGTACTTAGAAGCTGGCTGGGGAAAAATGCAGTGACAATCAGGTGCTTTTTTTTTTTTTTTTTTTTTAAGGTAATGTGCATCCCTACATTCTGATGCATGAAGACATTGAAACCTCCAACTTATCTTTCAGCCAGCTCTCTGAAAAACTGAACGTAGCAAGGCACAAAGAAAAACTCTTAAAGGTATGGTCACCTGCAGTATGTTTAACATAAAATCACATTTGTGATTTGCTGTGATTATACTATGAAAACCTAAAGAGATAAGTGAGATTTTTTACTGGTGCCTTTGAACTGCAGTTCTGCTAGTACAAGATCCTCACCAGAAGTGAATGAGTGTTGCACCACTGTGGTCTGCTTAGGTGAACTAAGCATCTGTCTCCGATCCTTTCCAGTACAATCACTGTCTGCCCATTGAGCTCCCTAGAATAGTTTTGAACATAAAGTAGGAATTTACTTGCTTATTTATTTCTTAACCTGTCAAAAACAGTGGTCAGGAAGAGTCTTTCTCTCGCAAGAGCTTTTCACATTGGAACATGTCTGTGCATTTTTTGCAAGACACAGAGAATCTGCACTCAGAAAGTGATGGGAGTGGAAAGTGAACTATCCATTGCTCTGGAGATGCTGATGATTTCTTTGGGTTTTTTAAATAGCTAGTTTTAATATGATGTCTTTTATGCCTCTCTTCACTGAAGTAACACTGAGATTTTCACTACAGTCTGAGAGTAACAGGAATAAGAGTAAAGCAATAGTGCAGAATAGATGGAAAATAACTTGAATGGATTTTGCATATTGAGCAAAGACAGTGATAGAGATGCACAAAGTTGCATTGTTCTTATCCTCAGTCATCCTACTGTGTTTTTTGAGAATTGTTTTGTAACATAAAATCTCTTCTCTTTGAATATGAATCTCTATAGCAGGGACCCTGTAAGGGTTGTAAAAAGACCTTATAAGAAATCAGGCATTGGATTTTAAAAGAATTCATTTCAGGATTTGTTGTTTCCTTAACCTAGGCTATAAACAAATTAATTATGCTAAATTCACATAAATGCATTTTTTAATCAGAAATGTTAATTTTAAAATAATTTCATTGCATTAGTGATGCTTGCTTAATTATCTTGAAGGAATCTCATTTGAGACTAAGCCTTTGCCAACATTTTAAATGTACTGTTACCAAACATTTATATACACTCCTTTTTATTTAATTTTTTTTCTACAGTAGAATTTTCCTACAGTAGAATCTGTAATCACAAGATGTCATTTCTTTCCTAATCTATGCATTTATTTGAAGTACAACACAGCTGAAGGGTTAATTCTTCAATGGAGCATCTTTGCATATTTTTGCATTTCTCTGTCTTGAGTTCGATAAAAATTATGTCTTATGGTTGCACATGGAGACCTGACCAGGTCTAATATTTCATAGTCTTGATTCTGAGTGCTTGCTTAAGGACAATAGTTTTAAGTAACTTAGTCACATAATGAGTAGAAGAAAAGAAGCTGTGTTATCTGCTCTTTGCTTGGGGAAGCACTGAGAAATTACGTGATCTATACAGAAGATTACAGGCAATGCATGAAGCTGGAGTCAATATTTCAGGGGCTGTTTTCTTAATGGAATGTAAGTTATTTGTCTTTATCTGCATTTTTTTGTGTAGTCTGTTATTGCAGTTACCTCTCAGCAATAGGTAGTTCACCTGGATTTCACATCATCTGTGCCATGACCAGAAATATTTCTGATACAACTCCATGCAGAATCAATTATCAGCTATGTAGTCTGTCTGCATTTAAACCCAGGCACAGTGCTATGCATATAAGGTCTTTTCAGAGGGGATTAGCAGAGATCTAAACCTATGCAAAGTCAGGCTGACCCAGCCAATTCTGTGTTACTCTTATTGGGAATGTAGTAGCTCTCTCACTCTGGAGCTTGAGGAAAACATGTTTAACTGGACCAAGGCTGGCTTCTGCAGAGGCATGTGAATATCTTTGCACCATACTTCAGATATAAGCAGGACCCTGATGTTTGGTGTTGTGGCAAGTAAGCTTCGACTAACCTGGCAGGAGTGATACAAAGATGTCCAGACAGCACAACAGAGGTGCACACACTTCTATTAGCTCTACCTGTGTCTTGGCCATGCCATTCATGGGCAGGCTATGAGTGGAGATACACAGCAGTCTCTGTACACAAGTCCTCATTTTACTGAATAAACACAGGGGAGGAAAACAATATAACCCCAACTTCCTGTTGAAGATGATGGAAAATTAATTCCATTGTGATAAATGCTTTATATGCTTTTATGGCAGCTGCCAATTTTTGCACTTTTTAAATGTAGAACTTTTTATGTATGATGGATAAAAAGGTAAACTGCATGGAATGAATATGTGAAACAAGTTCGGGAAAATGAACAGTAGCAAATCACCAGGACCTCATCAAGTAATCTAAGGGTCCTCACTTCTCTGTCTTTTCTGAATAAATGAAGTAAAAGAAAAAAAAATTATGTGCCATGTTGGGAAAAAAAAAAACTGAAGGAGCTGATTCTTCACAGAGTAAGGTAGTCAGCCAGTGGAACTTCCTGCTTCAAGGGAAAATTTGACAACTTCATGGAAGAGAAATCTCTTGAGAGTTAATAAATACATAGAAACTATTATGAAGAAGGTATGGGAATTTATTAAAGGATGTATCATGAATGCCTCCTGTTTTCTTGTATTCTTCCCTAGACACCATATTTTGGCATCTGTTAGACCAAAAAATCCATCCTCCTGTCACTGGCCCAGTATAGCTGCCTTGTATATAATTCAATAAAGTATTGGCTTTTTCAGCTATTGAAATTTGGAAGCTCAAATATTCTGTTTGAAAGCCTGTATTTTTCTAATCATATTTAATTCATAGTCTGCTCTAAACCAAATGTCCACAGCCTTTGTCTTCTACTTCATTAACTGCTTTATTCTACTGCTCCACCAAAAATTTCAGGCTTGCAAAATGTACAGTTCCAGATGATAAAAAGGGCTTTAAGTTAAAATGTTGCTATTTATTCCTGTCTTTCCTTGAAACTCAGAGTCTTTTCCATGACTGGAGGTGCCTGGGTTTATTGATACCTATTGAAACTGTCTTTTGCGAAGTCCAATGGGATTTCTCATCGCACTAAATTCTGTCTTCCAGTAAAGTTAATAGAAATCCTCGATTGGTTATAATAAGTGCATGGTTAGAGCTTAAATTTCAGAGGTTTAAAATGAGGGAGGGGTTAACTTTTCTATGTTTTCTAATAGGTGGTCCTACTTTTGTAGTTTACCTGCTGTTGTCAAATTCTATTGCCAGGATGTCATAAAATGTTATTTTGGGGTGGGGTGGTTTGTTTTTTTTTTTTGCTCACATTCATTTTCACTGAAAGAGGTGAGTGCACCACATTTGCTTAGTGGTCAGTACCAAACTATATACAAGATTATTAGGTTTTTTCAGTCCTCTGCTTGAGATGACCAAAGGGACCTAAATTGCTGCCTGTTTTTCAGTACAGCCTGGCTAAACTTTATTAACTAGGAAGAATGTGAATCCAGTTACTGTTTCAGAGCCAAAGCTGCCTGGTAAACAGAAAACCTTAGTGAACAAGATGAGACAATGTCAAGTAAAGCTTCTTCTGCATGCTATTTTTAGTACAGAGTTAGACATCAGACTCCTTGTAAACTCCATAAAACATTAAGCTATACCTGTGACAAGAAAACATGTTCATCTTCATATTTTTCTGGGTCAAGAACCTTAGTATTAAACACCATGTGGAATTTGTTGGTCAGAATTTCTTGTGCCATGGAAAAGGTGAGGAAACTGTGTGTCAGGAATGAATGATGCATATGGTATACAAAACTGTTCATCCTGCAATAAATGTTTAGGTCTTTTTTTTTTTTTTTTTTTTTTTTGAGCAGGACATAAGCAGAGGAATGGCAGATGGATGGTAGTCATCTGTGTGCTCAAATTTATGGTGCTAAAATGACTTCAGTAACTAAGAGCAGCTACTGCAGCAGTCTTGCAGAGTTTTGTGTTCCAGTCAATACCAGCTTCTCTAGTGTCACTTTGTTTCCTATCTTTGATGCAAAGAAAGCTGTACTTCATGATTTTATGCTAGCTGACAATTTCATGCATTTTGCTGCTGGTATGATGTATACAGTATAAGAATTTTTGGTATCAATAGCCTTTTTTCTTATTGCTTCATCTGTTTAAGCTATCTCTACCCAATAATAATGAAGAGTTTGTGATTAAGCTGTTAAAAATTACAGTTAGTGTTCCCTGAGACCACTTACAGTAGTTCATTAGTTGAATAGTATTTTTTCCTTAAAACCATCTGACGGTTTATTTATTCTAGGAAGCCACTGAAACAGGCCATCATAGCACTCTTCAGGGAAAAATAAATGGACCTGCCTTTGCAGCAGTACAGTCTGGGGACTGACTGGCTGTAGAGCAAAGGACCTGGGGTCTGGTTAGTCAGCAAGCTGAACATGAGCCAGCAGTGTGTCCCGGTAGAAAACAAGGGCAACAACTTGCTGGGCTGTATTAACAGGAGCACAGATAACACACCCAGGGAAGCAAGTATCTCCCTTTATTCAGCACTCATTGGACTGTATTTGTTACCTACATCCAGACTGGGGATCTCCAGTACAGGAAGACATTGATAAACTAGAGTGAGCAGCAGAGGCCCCACTGAGATAGCAGGTGGCTTGAGTACATACCCCATAAGAAGAAGCTGCAGGAACTGGACTTGTCCAGCCTGGAGAAGAGATGACTTCAGAGGAAGCTAATAGCTTTCCAGTACCTATGCTGAGGCTATCAGGCAGATGGAGCCAGGCTCTTAATGTGATGCATGGCAAGAGGATAAGACACAATGGGCAATTGAAACATGAAAGGTTCAGACTGGACATGAGGGAAACTTTTCACCGTGAGGACAGGCAGGCATTGGAAAAGGTTGCCCAGAGAGGTTGTGCAGTCTCCATCCTTGGGGAATTCAAGACCAAACTGAGTAACCTGATCAGACATCGTAACTGGCCCTGCTTTGATTAGTTCCTTCCAACTTGAATTATCCTCTGATCCTATAAATCCTCTCCAAAAGAAAAGTTATCGATCTGTTCAAAGTACAGATGCAACCTCTTTGCTTGCTGTAATACCAGCATGCTTAAAAGATCTATTGTGTGGTCAAGTACTTAATTGAGCAGGTATGACCTGTGTGACATACTTATTTGTCGTGGCATTAGCTTTATAAACTTCAGCCAGTTTATAATTGTTACCACATTGTTGTAGACATACAAATTCAGTCACTATTAGAAACTGTGACATCATCAAGCTACGAAGGGCTGTATTATTGAAAGATCCCAAAAGGTATAATTGTTTGTAAAGTGTTTTTCCTGGTGTGATATCCTGACAGTGCACAAGAATGATGATTTACATCAGTACATACTGATAGATCTTTGTTGCAACACGTTGCATGGCTCTTCTCACATTGGTTCCCACGTGGCTTTTCTCATTGTTTGCTTACATCTTGTCCCCACTTCCTGCAGGAGAATGTAGGAGAAATGGAAGAAAACTACTGGCCATTACTGCGGTGCTCCCAATTATCTGAAAGTTTTTGGAAGCCCACATGTTATGTGGAGTTGTAAACAGATAAATTATGTGTGTGTGCAGATCAATGCTGTATCACAGGCTCAGTGAAAGAGTTATTGTACTGTCCTTAAGATGGAGTTGTTCTTCAAGGGCAAGTGTTGTGTTTTTTCCTAGGTGTTTGGATTTCCAGGAAACCATTTTCCAAGGAAAATACAGGAGAAGCTGTGTCCCATTGGCTTTTTAAATGGGCAATGGAATTTGGCTATGGAATGTTTGGGAACGCTGTGAACAAATAATGGCTCTGTGGTAGCCTGGGGTCTGTGAACCCACACCATAGAGTATCACTGCCTTCCCATTCTTGGAATGGCAAAAAGCAGTTCCCCATGCTATAGTTACTGTGACTTTGTAATTTTTAAAGAACATGGAAAAGGTTATATAAAATTATGTCCAGCATCTGGCCCTGCTATAACTTTCTTCAAAGTATCTTCAGATCCATTAAGAATACTTTTATACATGTCTCCATCTCCTCTTAACATAAATTGGGGAGTTTTCCCACATCACTAGATATGATTGTCTTTTCTCATTCATCACATACTTCCTTAACTTCCTTTGAACTTTCCATGCCTCAGTATTGTAATTCTTCCTAGTGTTCCTATGCCATTTGAGAAAATCTAGCTGCTGTAGCATCAGTTATAGAAGATGACGTATGGGTTCTTTAGCTTAAAACCTTCAGTCTTCATATTTATTTTTTTCTAGAACTATATAAAAAATTATTTTTCCTTTTTTTCTCTTTTGCTGTTTGTTCATTGTTTTTATCTGCTTCCCTGGATTCTTATCTACTATGATGTATACAGATTCCACAGTAGAAGAGTATAGAATGTGTTTCATTATCTGTCCTAGGACTATACATATATTCCCCACACCACCTGCCAGAAGCACAAAGCATGGAAGAAGGGTTAGGATTAAGGAAGTTACCAACACCTAAAGCAGAAAAACCTTCTCAATTCAAAGGTTGAAAGAAGGGGATATGTAAGATCTGCAGATGATGGTGAGAGAGGAGTTTTGCTGGGATAGAATAATTCCTTTTTTAGACAATGTTTTGAACCCACTGAGCAGAAGAGGCTTAGTCGGGATCCCTGAGGTACCACGCAAGCCTGGAGTTGCATTGAAGCTCTGACCATAGGTTTACTATTCAAAGTCACAGTTGAAACTAAAGAAAGAGAACAATGCCTTCAAAGCTGTTTTTCTGTGGTTTTTTTTATCCAGCTAGTATAACTTTTTGAGGCTAAACTGTTGTCAGCTGCATATGCCCATTTCATGCTTAATCACCCGGTGTCTCTGTAGACTGGCTCTGGACCCATCCCTGTCATTGTCTAGTAGAGTAGCTCCTACTTACCTAATGTCCAGATGCACAACCTCACCCTGTTTAGGTCCCATTTTGTAAATAAAACAGATGTTCTTGAAAGAGCACGTATTTCCTTCTTTCCTCTTCACCTTCTCCTACCTGTCTACAGACTATACGTACAAATGGGGGGATGAGAGACTGCAGAGCAGTCCCACAGAAGGAAATCTGGGGGTTTGGGTTGATGGCAAGTTGAATACCAACAGTGTCCTGGGGTGCATAGCTAGCTGGTGGAGGGAGGTGATTGTCCCACTCTACACTGCACTGGTGCGGCCCCACCTCGAGTACTGCATGCAGTTTTGGGCACCTCAATATAAGGACATCAAACTATTAGACTGTGTCCAGAGGACAGCAACCAAGATGGTGAAAGGCTTTGAGGGCAAGACTTACAAGGAGTAGCTGAGGTCACTTGGTTTATTCAGCTTGAAGAAGAGAGGGCTGAGGGGTGACCTCATCACAGTCTATAATTTTATCAAGGGGGGCAGCGGAGGTGGAGGTCCTGGTCTCGTCTCTCTGGTGACCAGCGGTAGAACACGAGGAGATGGAATGAAGCTGCATCACGGGAAGTTAAGACTGGACATTAGGAAAAGGTTCTTTATGGAGAGGGTGGACAGTCATGGGAACAGACTCCCCAGGGAAGTGGTTACAACACCAGGCCTCTCAGAGTTCAAGGAGCATCTGGATGATGCTCTTTGTCATATGGTTTAGTGTTAGGTCGTCCTGCGAGTTGGACCCAATGATCCTTATGGGTCCCTTCTAACTTGAGATGTTCTATGATTCTATTCTTGGGTCTGCTCAAAAATTAAGGTAGCTGCAGAATATCACTTTCTTCAAATTTGTTTAAGATTTATTGAAATGAATGAAATACTATTTTATATATTACACATACAATATATTGTACATAAAACGTTAATGTAAATGATTCAGTAAGTGAACCAAGAGAGTGTCTTTTTTTTTAAAAACATTAATATGACACGTATAAATTCAGAACATACAGTTGTTTTGAATAGTTACCTATGATGAGTTGCATCTATGTGTAGTGGTAGAAGGTCTTTATTACCAGTTTAAATTAATAATGTAATAAATAAGACTGACCCTTACTTATGTTGCAGCTTATTTTAGCTTATTCCAGATTGACGTAATAGTGATATTCCACAAGCCTCAATTCTATTAATTGTACTGGTGTTTCTAAAATTATTTTTTAGGAACAGTTAGAAAGTGAGAGCATGAAGTTGAAGCAACTTGAGGACAAAAACAATCAAAAGGAAAGGAAACTTATATCTATTATTTCCAACCAAGAAGATAAAATAAGAACTCTGAAAAGCAAATTGAAAGAATTAAATGAAGCACAAAAGGGTATACAGATGCCAACATATAAAAAGGAGGTAAGATAAGCATCAAGTAGAGATAAAATGAAAAAAACAAACATTTGTAAATTATTACTTCTTTCAAAGATGTTTATACTAATTATTCTACGAAACTGATTTTAAATTTCAACATTATATAATTACTAGGAAATCGTTGAAGTACATAAAGTACGAACTATTAAATACATACTGGTTAGTTTGTGTGTTAATTATTTGATGTTTTGTCGTTAAAATTGCAGTATTTGTGCAAACTCCAGATTAGCATTTCTTTTTTATAATTTTCAGTTGGAAGTTTTCACCAAGATTGAGTTGATTTTTTCACTTTTATGCTACCCTATTTTTGTTATAGAGTAGCATCCAGAGTGCTGTTCTGTCATTGTGGGATAGCTAGAGTGCAGTCATCGATGTGAATCTAACCACGTAAACATATTTTAGCTATCTAATTTAAAGTGAATGTAGGTAAAGGTAGGAGCACAGCAACACATAACTTGTTGCTATTAGACTTCCCAAGAACTGCTTAATTTACTGTGGCAAGCATTTGTAAGCCATGTTGCTAGGTATAAAGCGTCTCAAATGTGTCTACAGGAGCTGCAATTGCACTTTAGTGTAAGGTAAGACAAACCTGTAGGCTATGGGTGTGTGATTATAAACAATGTATCATTGAAATCAGCTGATTTGGCAGACATATGATCAAGTTCTGTGTCTGATTTGGAGCACATATGAACTACCCAGGCCATCTGGTAATGTACATCTAGTGGAACTGCAGCTTAATGACTGATTATTATGAAAACTTCCCTTAATGCTTGGCAGATTTAAAACTATGTAATACTAAAGTGAACCACAAGGTGGTAGTCAAAGTTAATAACTTATTTAAAAACCTGCTAGAACTCCTGACGTACTAGCTTGTGATGTGTTCATTGAAAATTTTAGTGAATAAATTGATTTTTAAGAGCTAAAATAGCTGGCTACCTCATTAACAAGCTTATACATGATACATAATCTTACCTTATACATAACTGAAACAGAATTACTGTCAAGTAGTATTCTTAGAACCAGTTTCCTTTCAAGGGAATATGAGCAAAGGAATGCCATATTGAGTTGCCAAGTTAAACTAAAAACAGGAATTCACACAAACAGTAAAAAACTGCTTTTGTCATTTTGTGAATGTTTTGAGAGCTTCCAGAAGGATCAAGTGAAGGTTCCCATGACCTTTTTATTCATATCAGGGTAAAGAGCAAAATTAATATGCTAACCTGTGATAAATATTTTCATATTTTACTTCAAGGTGAAAAGTAAGAAAGTTATTCCAGATAAGCCTGAATTATCTCTAGGGGTCTCTGGTATTTCTCCTATGCCTGAAAGGTAAATACTTTTGCAGCTTTATTAAAATTGCTTTTAATTGTCTTTTCTGCTACTCAATAAGACCAGCTATTTCCCTTTTTTCTACACGGTACCTTAAAAAGTGGAAGGGGGGTGGAGCAGCAGAGGTCAAAGAGCTGGTGTAAGAAGGTAATAAAGCCAGCAACTATCTGGAATCATAGCTGGGGCTTTGCAAGTATGTAGGGATAAGTTGGGAAGAAGAAAAATAGCCACTTGGTTCACCAGGGGGGTAAACTCTGCGGGAAACTGCAGTTAATGCTGGGTTTTGGGTAAGCATTAACTCCCTTGCATTAACTCTCTTCAGAACAGGAATGTACAACCATAATGGATTAACTGATGGCAGCACAGCAGAGGAGCCTGCTGCGCTGCCAGGAGGAGGTCTGATAGTCAGCATGAAGAAATAATTCTTGGCCTGATCCATCCTAAATGAGAGAGTTTGAAAGCAAGTTTATCTGTAAACTGAAGCCAGACAGCCCTTGCATTAACCAAGGGACTAAAAGCAGTATATTTCCTAAGAAAGTATTCCCTCTTCTGCCAGTGTTTTAAGAAAAATATTGACCAAAGTCTTAGGTTTGCATTTTTCACAGGATAGGCAGTAATATCGCTTTTAACAATTTTGCTGAGGTCAAGTAGAAGATTCTCTAAGGTGAAGCTAGGAGAGTATTAGGGAAAATCATAATATCATAAATTCTTGCTGTCTTATACTCTTGCCTAGGCATCTGCTTTTGACCACTCTCAGACATAGGCTAGGTAAACTACATGGATCTTTAGTCTGACTCACTACTGCTTTATGACAAGAAAGAGAGGAAATAAGACTGTGCTGTGATAAAGACTTTTTTGTCTTTACTGATTCATCTCAAAGAAATGAAAAATCTTTACCCGTCTTCTGTCTCCCTCCTCTCAAATAGCTCCCTTACTTTACTATTTTCTTGGAAAGAGGTATGTGACTGGTAAGATTACTGGTAATCTTACACTAGTAAGATTATAGTATCACAAATGTCTAGCAAATTAAGATTACTCATCTAATCATATGTATATTTTAAAGCTCCGATTAGAAACTTGTCTTAAGAGTCATTTTTAATTTCTTATTTTTCAAAACACCTGAAAAATGGTCAGAATGTGTTAACAGTAGCAACTTCACCTCCTTCTGCAGGGTTTTTTTTTTTAAATGAGATACAAATAGACATTTCTGTCGTCAAAAAGAGAAGCACAACCAAAGTAGGAACACAGCTCGTGACACTCCTGATTGCTATATGAATAAGCAGTGAAAAGGAAAATAATTCACTGGGTTGAAGAAAAATCCCTTTTGAGCTGTCTTGATACAAAAATGCAAAAGAGAACACAAATCCAGTTTGTAACCAACTTCATTCTTTCATTCTTGAAGTTCATTTTATAAAATCCATGATACTGTGCTTAGAAATATAAATTAATCAGCAAGTTCATCAAAATTTCACAGTGGAATTTTATGGATGCATCACCAACTGAATAACATAGTGCTTTTGGGCAAATAAAACTCACACCATCACAAAGAAATATTTTTACAATTCTTGGTGCAGATCACTAAATATCAGATGTCCACTGTAGAAAAGATGTAATTTTTAAAAATCCCTCAAAATAAAATGAAGAGTCATGTGATATTGGATAAAACAGAGAAAGAATGAGTTCATGAGCCCCTCCCCAAAACATCAGGTAGACAGAGGAGGAAGGAGCAGTAACGAATGCTTATGCTGCAAAGTCTGAAGCATACAGAAAACAATGGAAAACAATTAGTCTTCACAGCGGCAGCATCTTATTTTCCCTAGAATGAGATGGAAACAGTACTCTTGTGAAAGATAAGCTGTTCCACAAAATACCTGAAGGAACTGAAAAAAATGTAAAGGCAGGATTGGCGAGGGAGGGTGATGTTCTTGCAGGGTCAGGCCCTAAGATCTAATGTATGTGTGTATGATAGGACTAAACAGTTCTTTGACAACATTTTCTTTTCTCTTTCTGCTTGCTTTTACTGAGGAGAACAAAAATATGTATGCATATGTGGAGGAACAAGGTATCCAAGAAAAGTAGCTTACACTATTGTTTTTTTCTGGTTTGTGGGTGTGATTCAAGGTCACAACAAGCTGAACTGGTTGACTCTTTAATTTACAATTTTGATCTTCCAGGGAGAATCTGGAGACTATCTTTCAGGACATGAAAGAAGAGTGTCATCGAATATGTATGCTAGCCAGAGAACAAACAGACCAACTGAGTAAATTTAAGATAAAGCCAGAACCTGAAACTGGTAATATCATACTTAAGCTCTTATTGTGATTCAACTGTTTGAAAGCTTTGCTTTCTATTTGAAAATACTGTAAATTACACATACATAGAAGTACTTCCACTGTTTACCATCTGCCTTTTTCAAGTCTGTTCACATGGTGCTCAGTATTTCACCAAGAAAACGCACCGCCAGTTTTGGCATTCTATGACGAATGCTCCAAATCGCATGCTATAAAAGACAGTCATCACATCAATGGTTCTTGTAATTGTTTTGTCCCTTGGAGTGAGAGGCAGGCACTTACTACATGTGATATCCCATCATGCTGGGTGAATGACAGCACTTGCTTGCGTTTAATTTAGCTGTCAGTTCAAAAGATGTCTGTTATGAATGTCTCTAGCCCCATATCTGTTAGAGGCAAACCGCCGGACTAAGGAGAGTCAGAGGACTTGTTTTCTGGACTTCCTTGTTCAGACTTTTTAATACTGTTTTGTTATGTGGGGACAAAAGCTTAATCCAGCACTTCCTGAAAGCAAAAGAAAGGCTTGATTTTTGTTGCAACTGGAAGAGATCCTGAATGCCCAATTCTGCTAATGCTTACATTTAATATAATGTAAGCTTCTCTGGGTATTCCCTACTAGCTTTTCTTAATAGTAGGATCAGACTCTTGAGTGATTTCAAAAAGCACCTGCCAAACTTACTCGGTTGAAGCAAAAGACTGATTTCAGCACTTGCTTCTAATTTAGGTTACACCATTACTGAAGTTTTGTTACATGAATTGCTAATGTGTAGCTTGTGGCTTCAAATTGCTATGTCTGAACTGTATTGTTATATTCTGATTGTACACTACTAAACTTTATTATTAGGGGGTGGGAATTTTGAGGGATGAGTGCTGGCAACTTATTTTAACATGGATTTTTTTTCCTTAAGTAAGTGCCTAACTCAACTCTGTGGAAAGCTATACATGATACAGATTTAATCTGCTTGATTTCTGTTACTTCTGTGGCCCACGTTACTACAATATCTGAGTAACGTCAGAAGGCTGCTGTACAGTAAATGTGTACTGAAGTTATTTCACCTGATCAGGAGTAACTATGTATGTTATTACTATTTTTGTTATTAAAGTACCAAAAATTAAGGGGAAATTCTCAAAACAAAGGGAAAATATGGTCTCACTTCTGAAGAATTATTCAATTTAAATATCTACTGAATTTGGAAACCAATGCGAGTTTGGTACCTGAATACCTTCTAAAATTGTGCTTATGGTGCCGAGTGTGTTCTTGGCACCACGTGAAATGGGTTTGGTTCTAGCTTCTATTTCTGCCAGAGCACTTCAGTAAATATATGCGAGTATGTGTTAAGAGTATGGGACAACATAATTTTAAATAAAATGAAAATGTTTATAGCCATAAATCAAAGAGATACAGACTTATTAGAACAGAATTCTTTCCTTTTATTTCTGTTCTGATAGTTTTTGTGTCAGAGCTAATGTTTCTGAAAGAGAACTACACCTCAAACTGATTTCAAAGAGAAAAAATAAAGGTTAAAAAGACAAGAACGAAGATCAAAAACCTCTCAGGAAAAATATCCCAACACCACACCTTTAATAACTATACTTCAGTGGACTATTTAATGTTTTCTTCATTCTTTCTTCACAGAAATACAGTTTTCCATGCCAATACAGTGTACTGATAAAACTGATGAACAAGCAGAAGAGCTTTTTAAGCCTCGGGTTATAAAGGATATAAATAGAGGTGCATCATGCATCACATCTATCACACCAAGAGGAGTGGGCCAAGATGAGGACAACAACTCTGTAGAATCACTTTCTAAATTTAATGTCAAGTTTCCACCTACAGACAATGACTCTGCTTTCTTGCAGAGCACTCAGGAAAATCCAACAGTCCCTTGTACTGGTATAGCTGAAAACATGCTTCAAGATCATAATTTTAACCTGGAGCACAGAGACCGTGCTGTTAACCTCTGTAAATTGGAACCTAACTCGTTTGAAGCTCATGGAGTTGATCTCATGACCTCAACTTTACAAAGCTTAACTACTGTTGACAAAACAAACCCCCCAAATCATGCAAACATGCTTATAGAAAATACCCATGACAAAACATGTTTAAAAACAGACACTGGTTTCACATTTGTACCTAAGCACACAAACCAGAGTGTACCTGAAGTAATTTTTTCTTCTTTAGAAGCTGCTGGGACAACCGTCAGAGGTCCTCATCAGGTATCTTTCTATAAATACTGTACATTTCAAAAAATGGTAATGATTCAGACAACCACTTTGCAAACATCTTTGAGACAGAACGAATACATTCTATGAGGCATCTTATCAGTCTTTTTTTAAGACAATATCTCTTGTCAGTTCTTCTTCCTTGTACTGAAGTATGTGTGAAAGGGAAGGAATTTAAGCAGATGTAAGCACTGGGTATGCTTGCATAAATTTCAGTTCATTTAGGTATTAATTGCTTCTATATCTATTTCAAAGCTGTTATTAATCATAAATTGCTCCCTAGATTGCTTTCTTTCTACCCTTGATCTCAGTTGAATAGGGCACATAATTGTTTTAATTGTTTTTAATGTACAGCAGAGAATATGACAAATGTACTAATTAAAAAGATGAACAGGTAAATACTTCACGTGGAAAAATTACCTACTTTTTATCTCAATGTGAGATGTAAACAGCACCGTATTCGTCCCCTCTAAGAAGACTTAAAATCTTTTATTCGTAGTTTAAGCAGTCAAGAAGGGGAAAGCTGTTTTTTATTTTGATCAGGGTAGTTCACTAATATATTTTAGGTTTATAAAGGTACTTTGGGCTTGAATTTCAGTTATAATTACTTGAAGTCCATGGGAGCTTCTGAAAGCAGGGCCCGGTTGCTGTAATGCAGAAAAACATTTCAGCAGGTTCTGACAATCACATCTCTGAATACTTTGCTGCTTTTGTGTAACATCCCGTCTCAACTGAAATGGCTGGCAAAATTATTATGGACCTTTATAGGCTGATTTTGTTACATTTCTGTGGCTTTTCTCACACTTTGTGAGAGGACAGCTTTTCAAGAATAAGCGAATAGTGATATTTAGGAATTCTGTGACAGTGAATTTGGCATATTTTTACTGTTTATATTGATGTGGGTTTGTGTTCTTTGCTAATGACAAGGTATGTGCAGCAGAAGAGCTTTACCTTTCAATTTGACCACTGCATGACATGCAAAACTAGCATTTGGAAAGCATTTGAAGGACATGATAGCTTTGATGTTTTCTTCTCCTAAAACCTAGCCAGACTAAGTTTAATTTTCTACTGCAAACCAGTTTTGGATTAAAAGTTTAAAGCATGGGGAGTTTGCTGTTCTTCATTGTATTTTAAACTATAAGCCTGATTTTTCAAAATGTATTTTAAATATCTAGTTGTAATGTAGGAGACCTCAATTCTATACCAACTTACTAATCACAGTTTTTATAGTGCTTTATTTTTCATTGGACCGTCAGTTAGAGTTGTGACTGAGTTAAACAAATTAAACCATTTATTTTATCACTGGTAGAATTCCTGTGGAGCTGTGAAGCATTCACTCCATTGCCTGTAACTATCCTCTTTTTCTGTATTCCCTCTCCAGCTTGTTCTTTTACTAGTTAGTCTAGTGATTTCATTTTTCAATAGATGGCACCCTGCATTGTATATTACAGCAAGTTAAACAGCTGGTATGTGATTATAAATTGATAGGGGAGTATGCAGCTTAAAAAGTAGAGAAGAATTGCAGATGAACAGCAATAAGCCTTTGGTTTGATCATTGGTATTTCTGCAAAATAAGGAAATTAATTTGGAGCCATCATTTAAAATGTGAATTACCTACTTTGTGGAGAAAATGTAATAATGCTAACATTTGGAGAAAAGAAAGGCAATGGTGAACAGTTTCAGTATTTGTAAGTCATATCTACAATAGCACTGTAGAACATACAGGACATTGATTAAAATGTTATCTCTTATCCAGAAGCTTGTTTGAAACAATCCAGTATTACTTTATAATCCATTAAATACACATCCGTGTATATCAGTATATTAAACATCCATCACCTTTATTCAGCTGCCTTCAAAAGAGGTTTTTAAGTATTTTTCCCAGTGAATTGGATTCAGCTTTAGAGTTTTTTCTGACTATTAATTATGCTAAAGATTTGATTCACAGATAATATATATGTTGATTAAAATGTTAATGTTTTTAATAGTTACTTGCATACGTGCCCTTTCAACTGTGTTAACCTTAGCAAAATTTATGCATAAACTTGTTCTTAGTATTTTTACCACCCTTATAAGGGGTAGTTACACTGCTAATGGCTTCCATCACCACCTACCACTGGTGAAGCTCCAAGAGGGAGGAATTATATACCTGATTTTTTTTCCTAGTGTAGATAAAACTTTCAAGTATTTACTACATATGTTAACTTATAAAATGGAAAACCCCATAAATGCAAGAGATTTGGCAACAGTAGGTTCTTGGAACTGCTCTCAGTTGCTGTAATAAATTTAGCTCATCCCTTCTATGTGGATACTATATGTGAAAACTCAGTACTGTTTTCTTAGGATGTAACTTTTTAAAAAAACATGTGACTGAAAAGAGCAGCAGATTAAAATAAACATGGGTATTAGTGGACCTAGGATTTTACAGACTGCAGTTAACTGACATTTACATATAGATGCATGTGTTTATTGGTATTCACAGTTTGAGGGGGTTGTTTCCACCAAAAATATTTCTAAGAATGTTTATTATTTTAAAATCAAATCGATAGTCTATTGATCTTAATCTGAATATTAATGTTTTTTTAAATGGAACATCTGCTTCAATATACCCCTATTCTGAAAAGCATATTCAGCACACACTTAATACTCAAAGAACGAAAGGGAAGTTAAGTACCTGCCTCAGTGGGTTGCCGGATCAGTACCTCCCCCTGTTGCGCTTCCAAGATTAGAAATCTTACTAGGTCCTTCTTGAGGTTTTTACAATAGTGTTTTATCCTTTTTAAAATGGTGTCTTAAATCATAAGATATTAGAAACAAGTAATTCTAAACACATTTCTGTAAGGACGGTTAAGTGTGTCAGTGTCTAGATAGATTTAATATGCAATTTACACCAGCAACATACAGTAAGTAGACCCTTTGAGATGAAAAAAGTGGTGTGATTGCACTTAATTACTAATTAGTCAATTTAATTCTATGGATTGCTGACCATAATGAAAGACAGTAAATCTGCTATTGCTATCTGATAAGCTAAACACTGCTTAAATAGGGAATGGACAGGAAATGGAATCCAAGAAGTTTAGCTGGTTTGAAAACAAGGTTTAACCACTATGAAAGCCAGGTTAGTTGTACAGTGAGTTACTATGGGAGGAATAAACAATAGATTCTGACTCCTTGGCATGATGAAATCTGAATAAGGGCTGAAAATTAAAACTCTTGGGTAAGTATCCATAGCAAGAAATTCAAAACTTCTAAAGAAATTACTTTCTAAAGTATTCTTGCTTGCCTTTCCATGTGTGAGTGAAGCAAGAGAGAAGAAAACTGAGCCAAAAAAACTGTAGGGTGCTCTCCTCTTCTAGGTTCCATCCCCACATAGAGCTCATACCAGCTTGCTACCATTCCGTCTACTTTGCAGTCACAGCAATACGCATTTAGTTTTCAATTTACGCAAAACCTAATTGTCCTGGCCATATAAAATAACTATGTATTTTATTTTGTTTTGCTAATAATATAGCAATGAAGCTTAATTTTTAACTTTACTTTGAAAACTGATAGAAGACTTTTTGATTCCTAGTTGGTATGACACTAAATAATTAGTGTACACTCTGACTTAAGGTATGTATCAGGCTGAAATCCCTTGAACTCCAGTGTTGGGTAAACAGACTTGCTGGCTTTAAACTAACTAGCTCAGGGACAAAGAGCAGTACAGCTGCTGAA